AGCACTCTGCCCTCTGCATCAACGGAGAGGAGGCAGCGAGGGTGGAGAGCTTCAGGTTCCTTGGGGTGAACACCTCAGCTGACCTCACCTGGGCCGACAGCATCTCCTACCAGGTGGGGAAGGCCCAACAGAGACTTTACTTCCTCGGGAAGTTAAAGCAGGCTCACCTCCCTCAACTCCTGTTGGTGAACTTCTACAGAAGCACCACTGAGAGCCTCCTGACTTATGTGTGGTTCACCGGCTGAGGACAGGAGGAACCTGCAGAGGGTGGTGAGGGCGGCTGAGGGAATTACTGGGACCACACTACCTCTCCTCAAAGACGTTTACACTGGCTGACTTCAGAAGAAGGCCATGTTCAGTGCAAAATGACCCCACTCACCCTGGACACCCCCTGTTCTCCCCACTGCCCTCTGGTAGAAGATATCAGACATTAAAGACTAATGTCAGCTTCTACCTGCAGGCTGTGAGACCCATCACCCCACCTCCACCCTCACCCTCACCCAACTCCTCAATCAACCCAGAACTGACATCCTCCTCCTCCTCCCCCCCTCTTGTACATACCTCTGGACAATAATTTGCACAGGATAAGAATTTGCACATGCACATGACACTTGCGCTGTTGTAAATACCGTCAGTTGTAAATACTGTAATCTCTGCTGTAAATGCCTCAGTCTTTATTTTAATATTTATTGTTTTATACTTCCTATATTTATCTTTCCTTTCATGTTATAATTATATATTTTTGTACTTCCGTATTGCTGCCACAGAGGATGCTACAACAATATGTCACTGCTGTAACACTGTATTTTTAACAATGCTTCCACAGTGACAACAAAGATCCTGAAACTTTATCCCGTGTAAAAGCCAAATGTCACATTAATCTATCTGAGCTTTGTTGGCAACCTTAAGGAGAAAGTCAGAGAAACACCAGTAGGGTTAAATATCCGTGCACTTAAAAAAATGAAACTATGAAAAAGAAGTATTGTCCATTTGTTCATAAAATCTGGATTAAGATGCTTGTAGGAGAAGATGTACAAAAAGAAAGTGGGTC